GTAAATATGTGAATCCTTGGGTTTATTTAGTGACCCTATTCTCCTACAATTACGTAAGTGTTTTTGAACACATCAGGTGATTCAATTTAAAATTAACATTATAATTCATCTATGTGTCAAGTTTCAATAATAAAACGTGGGTTCTAACATGTTCTCTGACGCATTGTTTAAAGTTGGCACCAAAAAAAACTCTGGAAAATGGATTGCATTTGTTTTGTTTCCCCCTCAATGAGCTCTCATCTCTCATCCCACATCTCTGAAAGAACATAACCGGTGTCAGTTCATTCATGCATTTATACATTTGTGATTTAGCAGCTCACGACACCCACACTGCTCCCCTTGTTAATTATATTTTTCAAACAACTTGTTTAATTAGCAAACACTCACATCAGATTCAATGAGAGTTTAAACAGTCAGGTGTTTGAGAATTGCCTGCCTCTCCGCTCAGCTGCAGGATTATGAGGTGTGTTGACACAAAAGGTGCGTGATCACCACAGAAGAAGAGCCGGTGCTGAGTCAGGACCTTACCATCTGGTACCTCAGGGAACCTGCATTCATCAGCGAATCTCTGTCCAACCCCGGATTCAGGGAGAGAAAATCAGTGATGAATGCCAATTACAGCCTCAGCCAAATATCCTAATTGCATAATATCCTCCTGTCTTTTTAGCATCATAATGTTTCGTCACTGCTGCTCCCTGTTGTGGTGCCTACTGTGAGGTTTCTGGGTACGTTTTTTTTTCCAGATAGAGTACAGAGTACAGACATGCACAGACATTTGGAGGGGCTATTGCTCTAACCTGGAAAATGGGAAATCCAACCCCCAATTCTTTTTACCCATGTCACCTGTTATGGGTCACCCATCAGCATGTACCTGAATCGTGTAAAATATTTTAGTCAGTGTGTGACATTAAGGAGGATGTATTGGCAGAAATGTAATCATATATATGTTTTCACATAAGGCAATATTTAAATAGGTCTAACTTTAGCTAGTATGAAAAATAAAACGTTTTTTGCTCCAGAGAGGCAGCTCTGCCAAGGAGGGGCTGTTGCTTAGGAAACTTTAGCCTGGCATTGTGCATGTTCTTGTTTACAATAAAGGTCCTCAGCCGAATTTCAACGAACATTGCAATGACACGGTAAGCATCTTAACATAACAATTCGGTATTTTGGCATTTGGCAGATCAGCAGACTAATATGCCAGCAGCCAGTTCGCTTAGCTTAGCACAAAGACAGGAAACACATTTTTATCTTGTTTGTTTAATCTGGACAAAAACAAAAACTAATACGTTGTGGTTTTACAGCGTTTCCATGTCAGGTTATTTCTTGCAGTAAGACAGGCCAGCTGTTTTCCAGTTTCCAGTATTTATGCTAAGCTAAGATTCATATTCACTGTATGAGAGTGGTACCAATATTTTTATCTAAGTCCTGCCAATAAAGCCAATAAACCACTAGAGCCACCAGGGTGCATGATGGTATTAACATACTGTAAGTAATAATTTAACATATGATAAAAGCCTCATATTTGGGTAAGAGTGGTAGCCTATATTTTACTGTTGTTTGACATTAATGCTTTTATTAAACGTTTTATTAAAGATACTTTGTTGCTGCTGTCTCTACTGATTTATTCACATTTTGTTCAAGAAAATACACCAACACACCTGACTGTTCGTCTGTCTTAATAGAAAATTGTTGTTGCTGTCTAATTATTTAGATTTGTGATAATTTATTTAATATAAACACAAAATATTATTTTTATACTATTATTATCATTTTATATTTTCCAACAATGGTATACTGATCAAAGACTGCATCAATTTTCATACAAAAACTTAAATATAAATTAATAAATAGAATGAATATCCCCTGATATTAGCAAAATGCATTTTGTATTATGTTTGTTTGTTTGTTTTCCAGTATGCGTTAACTCAAAAAGTAAACTGAAATAGTTTTACACCACAACCTCTCTCACATAAACAGAAGTAAGAATTCACAAGAATCCACAAAACCAATTAATTGAATAAAAAAAAACTTCAATCTCCATTTATAAACCGAGTTTGTCTGAATGTGAAGAGCTTTGGTGGTGGGAAGTTTTTCTTTAGAAAGTTCCAACTAATCGCAGCTATCATCACAAACTGCGTCTGACACTGTTATAAATTAGCATCATTAGTGATTTCTTGTTTCTGCCAAATAAGCTTAGCCTATGTGTCAATGTCAGACATAATTCAGTGAAGTGACAAATACAGAGCTAGAAAATTGGGATAAATAGTTAAAATGATGTAATTTCTATTCATTTATTCCAGTTTCATTATCATGTATTGATTTTCCAAATAATTTCTCAAGTTTATCACTAAACTTTTCCATCCACACATGTACTTTCCTCCACAAGCCACTCCATTTATATGTACGTACTGTACGTCTATTACTGTAATTGTGTCACTTCCACCTCTGTTACTAGAAGGGTATTTTGAGCCTGTGCAGCCGGTTATCAATTGGATTCACATGACAACCCGAGAGCAGACACACCGAAAAACAGAGTGAAAAAAAACAGTGTGTGTATGAGGAAACTATACTTCCTCTTTCAAGTGTGAAGGTTCTCTCGTCCGTTAAAAGCGTGTGAGGTTCTTGCTGAGACAAACCCTGCTGATTATTCGACAACAAGGTACATTCAAACTATTTCTTCTAATGTGTAGCGACACATTGACTGTTTTTGTCTGATACTCTGAAGTTGAGATCAAATGCTCGTCAAAGCTAATGGCTATATTAACTAGCTATAAGTAGGTAGAAAGGATTTGCTGAAACAGAGGCTCAGAGATTACAGTTTGAGATGTTTGAACTTCTCCTTCTTGAGGTGAAGAAATCTTAAGAAAGTCTGCAGTGCAAGAAACCGGCATTTTAAATTCTTATTCAACTTTCACATCAAAGTTTTACGGGAGTCACCTTGCTCTGCGTACCAGCTATCATGACCTCATCAACAGAGTATGTTGTGTTTTGGTTTTAGACTAGACAAGACAAGACAAGCACTGTGCACGTAAACAACAGTCCTTAATGTAGGTTAATGTGTACATATGAATATTATCTGCATTAAGATTTTACACAGAAGCTGGTCGGGTTGTTGATGCTTGTTTTTGCTGATGCTATGAGGCATGCTGTGAATTAAGTAGTTAATAGTGTACAGGGCTGTAGCTACCACTGAGGACACTGAGGTCTTGTCTTCAGTATTTTTTGTGGGAATTTGGGGGTTTTGCCTGGGAGAGCTTTAAAAAATACCTTTCAGACCGCTGTGTGAGGGGGAAAAAGCAGAAGTAAACTATTGGTAAGTAATAGTATTTACTTTTTTAACTGTGTTTCCTTTGCAGGATGCACATTTTGTGTGCCGCGTTGCTTTTGGCCTTTCTGGTCCTCAGCCACTCTTCATCTGCCCTAAATAAGCTGTGGGAAGAGTGGAAAATCAAACATAGCAAGGTTTATGATAATCAGGTAGGATTGTGGAAAAACCTTAATTTCTCTCTCTTTGTCACCACGTACAGGAACCCAATCACATTGTTCACTTTTGTGCTTTTTGTTTCAGACTGAGATCGTTTTTAGGAGAGCAATATGGGAGAAGAACATACTGCTGGTGTTGAGACACAACCAGGAGGCCTCAGCAGGAAAACACAGTTTCACAATGGGAGTCAATCATTTGGCTGACATGGTAGGAATCAAACAGTTTGTGTTTTCTAGTGTCAGAGCCCAAACAAGACAGATACTGTCTTCAATATCAGTCTGGAGTAATTCATCTGTAACATTTAAATGGCTGAACTGTAGGGAAATAGACATGCAGACAATGGGCTTTCTGTCACTGTAGATAAAGCAAATCATTTCACTGACCAAAATTATGTGCACAATTTATCAAATGCTTATTTGCATTATGTTCCAGACGATTAATAATAACCCTCCTAACCTCAGTTTTACTGGTCGCTAGACAGAGAAGCCTCTGCGGCAGCTAAGCTAGTCTTACAACATGTTATTTGTAGCTTTACTGCGTTTCATTTATTAGTTTCTGAGCAGCAAGTCGAGCCTTCCTGCACAGGTCTGGTGACATCTCAACATCTGACAGACTAGAAGTATTTTTTACAGTTTTTTCTCCCCACTTTGTAATATCAACCTGCATCCTCCTTGAGCAACAAACTGTCTTTATTTTGCTCTATGGATGTATCTTATTACATGACTATAGTGAAATATCTGGATTATTGTTTGTACAATCTAATCTGTTTTATTTTTACATAGCATCAAGTTTGTTGGCTGGCTGACTATAGAAGACCTCTCTTTAGTATAACAGAGTAAAAATAATCATCCAAGATTGAAAATATTCAAGATCATGGAATTTGCTGTCAAAGAGTAGAAAAGAAACATATCAGAGAGACCTCTGGTGGATACAAACTGCATGACAAACACTTTAGCCCTGAACACCAATCCTCTTTATGTCACCGAACTGGCTCCTCTCACTCCCAGGACCTATGCACACGTATGCTTGACATTAGACGCTGTGCATTACTGTGCAATAAGTACTTTCACACTCACTGACCTCTGTTGGCCAACACTGTTAATCTGCATTTAAAACTGCACCCTCCATGGCTTAATTTAAACCCTAACCTATAGGAGCAGCTAATCTTCCTTTACACAATCTGATTAATTTAATCCAGCGTGGCTGGGCCAATCTGGATAGTCAGGACTATAAAGTACAGTAGCGACATGTGGGAAGGCTGTACGGTTACAAAAAGGCATTTGTACATGCAAACTTTAGGGTTTGGTTGGTTGGTTTAGGGAGTCAAAAGGATGAGGGAGAGCATTGATGAAGCTGCATTAGAAGATATTGTAGAGAGGAGGGTTTTGATTTTGATGATAAAAGCCCAGAGCAGTGATGCCCAGATGTGCGTGATGTGTTGAAATGTTTAGGACAAACTTTTGGACTCCTGTCAGAGAGCCCAAAGGACGGTTTGTTATAGTTGCCAGATGGGAGGACAGCTAGATTGTTCTTAACTTGTTAGAAAAAAGGTTTTACTGAGGTTTTGTGATCTCTGAAACTATGGTGAGAGTCAAATCCGACACACACCGTTGACAGAGGAGGAAGGTATCGTACAGGTAAAATAGGGGAACATGTGAGATGGTGTGGCATCATAAAAACTGTATTGAGCTCTTTGTCCTGATGGCAGAAGTTTAAACTTGATAAGAATCAGAGGAACTTGTGGGAAATTGTATTATTGTTCACTGGTGTGAGCCTGAGTTGCAAAATAAAACCTTTTTCCAAAGATGTGACACTAAAAGTATTTCCAAATTGGGTCATAGCCTGTTGGGGGCCTGGGAGGGGGGAGGAACCAGCATCACATATGATCATGAGCTCAGTTCTCAGAATAGGCCTTTTTCAGTACTATTGAGAGGGACTTTTAGACAAGGGGAGATTAATTTGTAGCACACTGAAATGCTGAAATATATTTAATTGTGTCTTTAAACCGCTGAAAATACACAATATTGCAGTGTGAGATGTGCTTTAAGTTAGTAGAGCACTGTTGTAAGAGGTCATCATTTCCCTCATGTGCATTTTATATATTTACCAGCCCTCTTTTCTATTAAGACAGCTGATGAAATCAATGAGAAGATGAACGGCCTGAAGCTGGAGGAAGCAGTTCAATTCGGAAATAGCACTTTTAAGGAAGTGAGTGGCTTATCGGTGCCTCAGAGTGTGGACTGGAGGAAGTACGGTATGGTCAGTCCAGTCCAGAACCAGGTAGGTAATGGTTTGAGTTCAGCTATTGTAAATGGGGAAATGAGAAGTGTGATAAATAACCAATGGCAACAAACACAATTTGTTTGTTTTTTTGTTTTTAAAGGGGTTATGTGGGTCCTGCTGGGCCTTCAGCTCTTTGGGAGCTCTTGAGGGCCAGATGAAGAAGAAAACAGGGGCCCTTGTTCCCCTGAGCCCACAGAACCTGGTGGACTGCAGCACCAACGACGGTAACCTCGGCTGCAGAGGAGGATACATCTCTAAATCCTACAGCTACATCATCCGCAACGGAGGCGTCGACTCGGAGAGCTTTTACCCCTACGAACACCAGGTAAACAAAAATAAACAGTTGGGGTAGTTATAGAAAGGTTGATGTGTGCAACTACTAACACTGCATTTGTCAGTTTGTTCTTTTCTTCTTTGTTTCTTGTATCGTTCTTTCTTGTTTATTTCTTTGTTGTTTTTTCCTTCATGTTTCGTTTGTTGTATTTCTTTGTTGTCTTTCTTTGTTTACTTCTTGTTGTTCTTTGTTTCATGTTTGTTGTTAGTTTCATGTTTGTTGTTTCTTTCTTCTTTGTCAGTTTGTTTCTTTTGTTTTTGGCTTGATTTCTTCCTTCTTTACATCCTTTCTGTCTTTATTTCCTTGTTACTTCTTCCTGCCTCTCTTTCTTTACTTCCTTATTTACCTTTCTTACTCAACTTCATTGTATTTTAGAGCTGGAATTTAGTTTTGAAAGAGAGTAAAACAGTGTTGTTTACTAGTTTGATTAAATAGTGATACACAATATATTTTATAAATCTAATTTCTATTTGTAGAATGGGAAATGTCGGTATTCTGTCATGGGAAAGGCCGGCTACTGTGCGAACTTCCACATCCTCCCACAAGGAGACGAGAAGGCTCTGCAGGCTGTAGTTGCGTCAGTGGGGCCGGTCGCTGTGGCCGTTAACGCCATGCTGCCATCTTTTCATCTCTACAGAGGAGGTGAGGCTGCAGGCTTCTGAATGTGAGAGGTCAACTGATGAGTGATCGGTTGACACTGCAGCTGTGAACGCTGGTTCTGGTTCGAGTCATGCCTCAGAAAAACTAAAAGCCTTCGCTGTAGTGAATTAAATCATTTTTGTATACATTTAACGGATAACATGGCATGGGCAGTATTTTATATTTTATACTTTATATGCAAAAAATAATTGAGGCCTCACAATAGAGACACCTTTCAGACATTTTCTTTTTCTTTCATGGAGAAAATTCAGTTTAATAAAAAGTACAACTGCTATTTAGGAAAATACCACGCATAAAGTCATAAGGCTTCCTCTTGCTTCAATATTTCTCTTTATTACAACTTCTATAAAGTGATATTTTGCCTGTATTAAAGGTCCCATTTTGCTCTGTTTGTCACTCCAGCGCTGAAGCTGTTCACAAACCAGATTTCCGACAGAATTTCTCACAACACGCCATAGCATAGTGTGTGTACAAAATACAATTTCTACAGGGGCAACCAAACTTGTGCTTCTTTAGATGGGTATAAGGGCAGCTGGATGATACCTATAGTTAAGGTGTTAATTGCATTTTATCTAATAGACTGGAAGCTGTCAGGAGTGATAAACACAATGACAACAGGAGTGACTTTACAGCAGGAACTCTGAGTTATAGTAGAGCCTAAATCAGTGATGAAATGGTTCCCATTACCAAAATCATAATTAAAGTTAGGAACCACATAAGGTATTAATGATTTCTAACTAAACTGTCAGATATCAGCAGTAATTCCAGTGTCACCTGATTAATAAGAGAGATTCTATTATTTTACATGTATTTTCTCAACCACCTTATGCGTCTTTCAGGTTTATACAATGTGCCCAACTGTAACCCAAGGTTCATAAATCACGCTGTCCTGGTTGTGGGCTACGGCACAGACCGAGGACAGGACTTCTGGCTTGTGAAAAACAGGTAAATGTGTTCACCTGTACAATGTGAAAGGAAGAGTATGACTTCATATTAAATGAAATAAATTAGATTTATTATATATAAAATAAACGTGAATGTTTTCATGATTCCAGTTGGGGAACTGCGTGGGGAGAAGAAGGCTTCATTCGAATTGCCAGAAACATGAAGAATCTCTGTGGCATTGCCAGCTTTGCGGTCTACCCAACGCTGTGAAAAAATGGGACCCGTCACCTGAATCATCTTGGTAGAATTTAGGTTATCTCATTTATTTATTTAATATCAGAGACCACATGTTTGTTATTTCCATCTTTAATAATGGCACTGCAGACGCTGCCTGTCCTGAAAGTCTGTCCCGAAAAACAACTCTTTCTCACTGATGTTTTTGGTGTTTTGAATGAATTCTTATAAGATGTCTGAGTTTCCCTTCAATAAGCTCCCATCTCTTATTCTCTGTCATTTTGAAAAAAAGATTGCTTGCTTTGAATGTTTAAAATGTCTTTTTATATATCATGTAGGTACACTGTATTTTATATACGCGATTCATTTATTTAAATATTAATATTTAAATATTGTCTCAACTTTCTGTCTGTATAAGTGCACACTTGAACTCTTGACAATAAAGAAATATCAATTCTCTGCTTGTTAAGAAGGAGACATGGGAATGAAATATTATTAGTAGTAGTAGTAGTAGTAGTAGTAGTTATTGTTGCAATAGATGTATTTTATTATCTAAATAATGATAGGTGAGAAAGAACTTTTGAAAATTCCTTTTGTTCTTGGTGGTCAATATAATAATAATATAAGGTTTTATAGGATTCAGGTGTACACATAAAGAGGTTCTTTGGATACCATGAAAGGAGTCTTTGGATGAACCAATGGCAGATGAATCTTGATAAAACGCCCTCTATGGATGTGTCAACAAGTGTCCCCCAAGGTGGCCGCCCAGTGGTAAAAAGGTGAAGTGCACCATAAAAATGGAGAAAAGGGACGCAATAGGCTGCCCTACCTTGGAACTGTTTCACCATAAATGCATTACAACCTTCAGTGCGTTGGTGCCCTAATACATGCAGCTGTTGTCTCTTTTTTTGCCCCTGCCCCCTCGGTCCACCACTGCAAAAGCTTTCACTGTTGAAGTCACAAAATGATTGGTCATCATCAGTCTGTGGCATGGCTGTCCTCTTTTCCTTGTTCTTCCTCCGACCTCCTTTAGCAAGTATGGTCATTTACTGATCTGATGTTGAGAGTTTTGGGTGACATTTATGCTTTATCAGTATTTTCAAACATTTACAAGGGAAAAATACCTGGTTGGTTTTGCAAATGTACTTCCACCTCCGTGCACAGCTGCTTCCACAAGCCTTTCTATGAGACCTTCTGGGGAGGCAAAGCAGTTTTTAGCGAAAAGGATCTAAAAAATCAACTGTACACCTGCTCAGCATCAAACAGAAAACAGAGAAGTTAGAAAACGGCTGATGTAGTATGTCTCTTTAGCAGCAAAATGCTCCAGTTGCTCCAGCCAGATATTTCCCCCAGGATTTTCTAAAGTTAATAAACAGAGCTAAAAGAGACTTACATTCATCAGGAAGACAGAAACACGACTCCAAATCACTGATAATGTTGCTCCCCAACTGCTGGATGTATAAATAAGCAACTCTGCTAACAAGTGTTGCTTCTGCTGCCCCCAAGTGGCCAAAAATCAGTCATTGCAGTTTAATGATTTGCAGGTTTGCAGTGAGCACGGTGATAAATAAAGAGTCTTTCAGATTCAGCTTGGATTTTCCCCTGGTGATCTTAGGTAGGTCAGGTTTTAGCATATCTGCCATCAAGTGCGACCGATTACTTTTCAGTGCTGGTTTTGGTTTCTGCTTATTATTTTCTGTCTCTAATATTGGCATTGGACCAAACATGTAATAGTGGGCCACCTGGTAACGTATCCTCTGCCAGTCAGTTTGTCAAATTATATTAACTGTTGAGATTTATTGTAAACAGCCAAAATATAACTTCTAATGTACAAGTATTGATGTTTGCTTTAATATGTCTTCATTGAATATATTTTTTTAACATTTAACTAATAGGTTTAGTCAGTTTATTTCCACTGCTTCTAGATGTTAATGGATATCAACTGCTGGTGTTTTAATGAAAGCTGCTGCAGCTGTCCAATCAAAGCACGAGCCAGGCCTGTTAGTCTGATGTAGGACACTTTTTTAGCAATTTAGCTTTCACTGAGTTCCTGTTTTAACTTATTTTCCTAGATCTAGAAATGTTTCGGAGCCTGCTTTTTACCATCATTTGTGGATTTGTAACGGCCGTTATCAATTCAGAACTGGACCGAAACTGGGAGTTATGGAAGAAGATGCATAATAAAGTCTATTCTCACCAGGTAAAACTAAGGTGTTCATTCCAGTCAACCTAGTAACTTCTTTTTTTTTTTTTTTTTAAGTATTTTCTTGGCCTTTTATTGCCTTTATGATAGTGACAGCTGAAGATAGACAGGAAAGGGGGGCAGAGAGAGAGGGGATGACGCACAGCAAAGGGCCGCAGGCTAACCAGGCGCCCCGACCTAGTAACTTTTAACAACTGTTGTTGTTTGGCCTAACAGTACATGGATGTGTGAAACATATTCTCTTATGTGGAGCATACCTAATGAATGATATTCTAAACTCTTCCCCCTTTTTGGTATCTATTAAGTGTGATGTATGTTAATCCCATGTTTCTAGATTGAGGAGTTTAGTCGCAGGCGGATATGGGAACAGAACCTGGAAATGATTAATGTCCATAACCTGGAAGCCTTCCTGGGCTTACACACCTATGAGCTGGCAATGAACCACCTGGGAGACCTGGTGAGTCTATAGACTAGTCTTTGCAGTTCGTGAAGATCCAGTCTATGTTTAACTTGTGTAAAACTGTTCTATCTTCAAGGGTTCTTGTGGCTCTTGTTGGGCCTTTAGTGCTGTTGGAGCTCTGGAAGGACAACTCAAGAAGTCTAGAGGCTACCTGATGTCACTCAGTCCTCAGAACTTGGTGGATTGTTCCGTAAATGGGTGCAACGGTGGCTTCATGGCAACCGCTTTCCAATACATCATTAGAAACAGAGGCATCAATTCTGACACAGCCTAACCCTACATTGGCAAGGTGAATTTTCAAAACGATGGTCCACTGCATGCATGGGTTTTAAAATTTAAGGTATATTGTGGTTAAACATTGACAATTAACTCCTCACAAAACGTCCCTGCACATCACTTTCATTTCAGTGGGGTCAATGCAAGTATAACTCGCAGTACAGGGCTGCTAACTGCTCGAGCTACGCCTTCGTACTGAAGGGGGATGAATCTGCACTGAAGGCATCTTTAGCCAAGATCGGTCCCATCTCGGTAGCAATTGATGCCTCCAGGCCCAAGTTTGTCTTTTACTGTCATGGTGAGTAGTCATGGGTTCATAGCTCTTACAATAATACAAAAGTTTAATCGTAGTCGGATTTTTTACACTTTTTTTGGATCTGTGTAAATGGTTTCAGTTCAGTTTTGTGTGGCCCAACAGGTGTGTACAGGGACCACACGTGTACCCACCATGTGAACCATGGAATGCTGGTTGTGGACTACGGTACAGAGAGAGGACAAGACTACTGGCTGGTCAAAAACAGGTTTGTCTGAAGTGTTGAAATGTGAATTTTGAATTTGAAATAGTATTTTCCTTGATTTATTGGTTTTTATGATGTACATACTCTTCAATTGTAGCTGGGGTGTAAAATATGGAGATCAAGGCTACATTAAGATGGCCCGGAACAGACGCAACCACTGTGGCATCGCTCTCTATGCTAGTTACCCAATCATGTGATCAGCAGAGGGGCCAACTTTTGGATGTACATTTCTCAGCAGCAGTTGGGACATTATTTTAAATAAACAGTTTGATCCCTAACTTGTGGATTTCTTTTTTTTTTATTATTATTTATATATATATCTCTATCTCTATCTCTAGCATTAATATTCCAGCTTCAGTTCATAAATGTATTTAGGCAAAAATTCCTACACAAAAGCTGTCCAACCCAAACAAATAACTGCGGTTGATTTTAAATTAGTGGTTCTCAACCTGTGAGTTACATTTGTGACTTCACTTATACAAAGATGAATATTTAAGCCACTTGTTGACTGCATCTGTAATAAGAGTAAAGCTACAGACTCTATTCATTAGCTTTTTTTTTTTAAAGGGGTTCTCACTTGAGTAACACATTTCAAGCTCATATAAAATGAGCAATATGGCACATGAGCTGGCTGCAGAAAGTAGCTCTACCACAGACTTCCTGGAATACCGGTGTGGACCACTTGGCTCTGTTGAAACTACATTTCTGCTTCCAACTCTGCTTAATTATAAGCAAAGTCTACTTGTGAACCGTAAACACACGTCAGATGTCTGAGTTGTGCTCAGTTCAACTTGTGAGTTTTCTTTTATTCAAAAGCAAATTTGACAGAGGCCTGAACTTTACTAACTTTACTCTCCAATTCCCACCCCCGGACAAGACAAGCACGTATCAGAACAAGGCAGCAACATAACTGCACTTTTACGTGCAGTCAGAGCGTTAATGTAGTGAAGATACTGATGCAAAGTCCAACCTCCTGCTGTCATTAACATTTAACGTTTGGTGAAAAACCCTGTGAACTGAAGATAAGTAGACTTCATGCTGTTTAATGCAAAACATGACATTGGTTTTCTTTAAGTTTTATTTTTCCATTATGATTTATCATTTTCTTCATAGAACTGGATAAATGGCACAAAAGTGCAAATCCCAGCATAATGAACAACTCTCACATAAAATAAATACAGCACCTTTTCAGCATCACTAAAATATTCTCAATATCCAGAAGTAATAAATACTGAATTTACCAAGTTTTTCAGTCTTCATTTACAAAACACAAAGACAACACACAATAGATTTTTGTGTCATATTGAACTTTTTTTGGAATTTTTTTCCTTGATCTTTTGTTCCACAAATTCCAAACTTGCACGTACAAACATCTACAGTTTCTACACACAGTACATAGAATTTTGAATTGAACTCACATTTAGAGTAGAACTTTTATCATTTAATAAACAGGTCAGAGTCAAACCAAAGAAAACGTAAACATAAAAACCTTCAGTCCAAACTACAGCGAAGGATCCTTGCAGTTCTTTGCAGATGGAGGAGTTGTTTTCTGGCATGGGTCGGCCCTTTTGTTTTTTTTCCTCAGGATCCATTCAGGACTGATCTGTGCTCTTAAGATTTGAGAAGACAGAAACCATGCCATAAAAAATCCTCCACCCCTCTATCAGTCTGCCATCATTAAGGGAAGTCTTCAGGCTGGTGTTCGCTTTCTTTTGACAACATCCCATATCACTGCCGTCATCATAGATAAAACTCAAACCAGTAACCCCTTTGATAGTTTATATATATAATGAGAATTCTACACATAGCAACATTAAATAGTAAACTTTTACATTTTGGACAGGAGCTTCAATTTGACAGAGGGGCTCTTTTGATGAGTTGATAAACCGTGGTCCTTTTTGGATTTAAATCTGATTTCCTGTTTTCTCAGAATTGGGGAAAGCCTCCACTTTATTGCTTACACTTCCCCCTATTTAAAAATACTCACATGGACAAAACAAGTTTACGTCAAATTGTACTTTTTGTTCATAATATCTCCCTTTGCCTAAGCGTATTGCCCTTTTCCGGCCCTATCTCGTACCTCTGCGACAAGGTGAATTGCACGACTACAAGCGTCCTCCTCAGAAATTCAGGCTTTTATATAAAAAAGAGTTACCTGGGTCCAAGGTAAACAAAGGAGCACAGCCACCACTAACTTACTTTCAGAACACATACTCAAGTTTCACCAATTTTAACCCCACTTTGATTAAGAACAATCACTGCAAGCAACAAATCTATGTCATCATACGACAATGAAAACACTAGTTCTTGCTTTAGACAAAAACAGCTGGCATACAGGACGTCCAAAAAGTCAGACAATACGATACAAACATGCGTCACGATCGGTTGAATACAGAAGGATTAGGGAGTGAAGTCGTCTTTGTGAATTTAAGATGTGATCCTTCGTATTTCTGAGCAGAGAACAGCACTTCATCTCTGAGACTGGCTATCTTTGATGGGGTTTGTTTTTAAAGACTGAACTATGTCAGCAAAAGAGCACCCGAGTCTATTATGAAGAACAAAACATTAAATTCTATACTGCATATATTGCATTAGGTTGCTTTTTTATCTTCTCATAGTGTAAATATATTTCCGTGGTCCCCAACTGAGCTGTTTTCATCACAGGGATGAAAACATTGCAACAGAAAAAAGTAGAAAAATATGTGACAGACAATTTAGAGTCAGCTTACACATACACACACACTCACACCACACACACACACACACAACACATAACACATACACATACACATACACAACCACACATGGACAAGAGCTTCAACAGTCTCTCCAACATGAACAAGACAGGAGACATCTGTTCATTAAATACGCACTTTGACTTTGTGGACAAACAGCTTGATCATCAGAATGTAATCTAGATTTGACAGCAATAATTCGACATTTTGAGAAATATTCTTTTGTTAAAAGTTAATGAACAAGGTCAATATGCTCTCATGCCTGTGGATATGTACGAAGTACAGCCACAAGTGGGTTAGCTTAGCTTAACATAAAGACTGGAAACAGGGGCAAACAGCTAGCCTGGCTCTGTGCAAAGGTAATAAAACTCAAGTCTAATTCCATCCTGGCGTCAACTCCATACTTTACCCACCGACATGAGAGTGGTATTGATCTTTTAATCAGACTCTCAGCAATACAATGAATAAGCATACCGAATTATTCTTTTAATGTCTCTCTCTCTCTCTCTCAAATACACACACACAATCCAGAGGATGTCTTTAGGTCAAATAACATACTCTATTGGGTAGCAGCAGCCCCCATTTACTCACTCACTGATTGTCAGCACACATATTGATGTACACCTTTGGAGAAATGATACCGAAGTAGTGATATGTATAAAGAATGGTACTCAGTTAGATTAGTGATTGTTTCTAATTTAGGATCACATTTTTTTTCCTGTTTACTTCTGTTATCCTTACAGATTGTTATCAACCGGTATCATACAGGAACAGTGAGTAATAACTTTTCTTGTCTTCTGGCACAAACGGACGCAGTAAAAGAATGACAGGAACAGGAGCCCTTAAAATGAAATTAGGTGAGGGATTTGTAATCTCGGTTTTCTCTTTGTGCCACTCTGCCTGATCAATAGGACTTTTATTTTAACTGATTCTTCATCTTTTGGTCCAGTTTAATTTGTGCTTATGGGTATAATGAAGTCATATCATGACTTTAAAGAGGCATTAACTGCCTCAACTGCATTGATTGTATGTTTTAAACCCAAACATAAAAAGACAAAACAGCGAAACACTAAAGCAAACTGCTAAGAAGGACAGTGAGATGCGGTCCAAATCTCTTACTCTTGTTACTGAGGTCAAGAATAAACTTTCACACTCAATTTAAATGACTTGTTTTGTGACTTCTTTTCATATTAAGGTTAACTGATGCAGTAATGCATATGGGACGCAGCCGGAAATATCAGAAAACTATCTTGCATGTACAATAATTTGGTGGAGTGGTGCTAAAACAAAATACCAGCTGTAATCGTGGTCTAAACATTTCACCACACCTGAGCTACTGCATGAGTTATATGCTGATATAATTATGTCTAAATTAGCCTAAAACATTCTGCTGTTGGATCAGTAAATAAAGTCTTTGTGGCTGCACTGATTTGAATGAAATGACGTAATTTAATAATTTAATTTAATTTTAATTTAATGAATGAATCACTTTCTCTTGTCTCACATAACAAAGACATGCATGCAATCCCACGTACACTCACACAACTAATTTAGGCAAATATAACACTATAGTATCTGCTCTCACATTTAGAACTTGACCAAAATCCATCCCACAGACGTTCCTGTGTTGTAGGCATGAACACCATCACACTGCCACAGCTGTATGGTTCAACAACAGGTAGGGAAAATATTAGTTTAACACTGAACACTGAGGAGCTGGATCAAACTAGTCCCATTTACAACAGAGAATCCTGTGAAATGCATCTTCACCTGTGTGTTTTGAGGCTATAAGTAGAGGAGGAGACTGGATTTATGCAGGGACAAAGGGAAATTGTACTTAGTTTCTGAATAAATCAAGCCTCACCGGAATGTCTTAATATTATTTGGTAGAAAATAAGAGCTTGCAGGTCTGGCTTCAGTAGTAGGCAGTGGTCAAGAGTCATTGGCGGTTTTTAGAGAAAATATATTCACCCAAAGAAAATCTTTTCATCAAACACAAGCACATCGGTCTGAATGGAAATGTGAAGTGCATTGTAGCAGTAACATCACAGCAAATTAAAAAGCATCACTGAAAGCCAGTCACTGAGGCCGAGGACAGACGATAAAGAAGAATACTGCAATCATAATTGAAAATCGACCACATACATAGAGTAAATCTTTTCACGTTTTCCCCCATAAATGGCTTTTTTTCAGTCTCATCTCTTCAATTGACATCTCTGTTTTCTCAATTGATATTGTAGATCTGGTAAGGTCGGGTCAGTGAGAGAAAACTCCCAGGAATTAACATTTATCCTTACTGCACGCCACAATTTGTACTGCATTACCCTGCGCATTTGACACTTTTAAAAGATCTGATGTTGTTGACAGTGTAGCTGAAAGTATTTATTTCTAAATCTGCGCTGCTCTTCTCTTAATCACTGTGGCTCTGTATAGACTTTGAATGATGCAATCCATATTTCAAAGGATTCTGGGCTTACAATGGGGATGGCAGTCTGTTCTGTTGGTGTGTGTGACGGGCAGCGCTGAAGCTCTCAGGGATGTTCGGGCTCTAATTGTCAAACACACACTCCAGCTGTGCCCTGCTGCCCACTGCTGGTCATTTTCTTTACTGCAACACTTGGCCTCGTGTTTCAGGCAACTTTGTTGCAAGGAAACTACCTGCAGCAAGCGCGCCGGCAGCAAATAAGATGGGTATGGCCTTGGTGATGCCGACAAATGACTGGAAGATGCTGATGCCCAGGACGGCCGCCAGCTTACAGAGGGCATTCAGGAAGCCGAATGCTGTGCACCTGAACACAAGAAAAGAGGGACAAACACAATCAGAGTTAGGACTTTAAATAACTGATAGAAATAGGAGGAATTTTAATAATACTGATCATTAATTCTCTAATTTAAGCTGATCTGCCTTCAGTGCATTTGAACATGTTTAGTTTTCTACACTTCTTTTACACTTTGTTATTTATAACACAGATCAGTCAAAGTGTAATTGCAAATGTTCTTTGTATTTTTGATGGTACTGCTAGTAGTAGTAGTAGTTGTTTATTTTTGATATTTTTGGTTTATTGTGTCATGTACATGCAAGTTCTCAGCCCATATGGATTTAAAAGACACCAAAGATACGGTTGCCATGGTGAAACATTTGTCAGACAAGAAGGGTTTTATCTCCTGTCATAAACTCTACAAATAAAGATATGCCAAAAATAAAGTGTCCTTACCAAAACACAACTCAACTCTCCCAATAATCCCAACCAGAGAGAGTTACCAAGGGCATTTTTAGTATAATCCTTAAATCATCAATAAAACATTAAAATGGACTCTGCCTTCAGTTAAATCATATTACAAACAAGCCTACCTGTTAAAAAAAACTAATAAACATATGAAATATGTAGCTGGAGCCAGCAGACAGTTAGCTTGGCATAAAGACTGGAAACAGCAAACTAACCTGGCTGTTCCTTCAATCAACCTAAGCACTAAAAACTGTTTGTAAAAGGAAGTAGGTGTGTTTCTCCTGCACTGAAATTCAGTTTGGTGATCTGCCTTAAAAAAAACAGCAAAAACTGAATAAGTTCAGAGGTCAAAAGGAACAAAAAGGAATCACCTCATGTGCTGATCCTTTGGGTATATCTATTTGAAATCAACCTGAAGCCTTCACCATAGCACAACAGTAAGCTTTCTTTGTTAAGGACACATCATGTGATCACCAATCAACAGAAACAAACTGCAGGAAGATCCTCCTCTCCCCACAGAAACAGTAAAAAAAAAAAAAA